GCTAGTGGACAAGTGTGGACCACAGGATCGTCATCGTTGAATAAATAACACACGTGCTACGTCTTTGCATAAAGTATTTCTAATGTCAAGGTGTCCTAGGACACTTTTTTCACTACTTTGTATATATGAAATTGTAGCGCGGGAAATTCTCTATCGAATGGTATATGTATCGTCGTGGCTAGTGGACAAGTATGACCACAAGACCGTCATCGTTGAACAAAGAAGAGTAGAACTTTGATTTCAGCAAATTCGACCTAGTTTTTTCTGAGAGCATTTCTAGGGTCTGCCGAGTGGCTAGAAATGTTCTCCTGTTCATTCTGCATCTAACCATGTATGTGTCGATGAAATTCAAGCAGGGGCCGATTCCATCAAATAATTGCCCCCGTCCTTCTAATTTTTTTATTTCTGATACGCATATTTCTTTTGACTTGTTAAAAGATAAAATTCATTTTTTTCTATCAGTTTTCTCTTTTTATAAAAAGAAATAACATATTTGAAATCTTAAGATAAAAACTTATTGCTTGAGGAGCAAATCATGCATCTACTTCACATCATTAACTGATAGTTATCTCAAACTGCTTTCAAAACGCCATTTTGAACACTTACGTAGGTAAGTGTTACGTAGAAGATTTTATTCTCCCAAGCAATTATTGTCACCAAGTTTGTTTTCACTTTCTTTGTGTCAAGTACTTATTTTGTAGTCATAGATATATCTATATATTGGAGAACATAACATTCTTTTTTCGTATAAAATATGTTTCATTCTTTCTTTTTATTTTATGATGAGAAAAGTTAATAGATAACTAAGATCTGGATGTTCAAAACTGTTCTGTCATCTTTTAACGGTCCAAAAAAACCTATGTTTTCAACATGCTATAAGCTACACTGTTAAATAATTACCTATAGGAGACGTCTGAAGAGTGAGTGGATTTTGTACTGAAGAAAAAAACGGTACAAAATAAAAACTAAATCTTCACCATTTATCAATTCATATACTCTTAAATATCCCGTTAGATAGAAAAACGATCATAGTTTCGTTGTTGGATCATTGGACTACAAATCGTCCTCTTTTCTCACAGATAAGAGATGAAAACTAATAAAATCGAAAATAGAATGCGATGTAATTTTTCATTCTACATGACCGTTCTATCAACAAATATCTCCAATTACCTCGTGTGTGTACAATTTTCATAATTAATTAATTTATATGTTCATTTGTATTTTTGTATTTAGATATGCGATAAAGTTCAAAATTTTTTTCTTTATGAACCACACACACAACACACGAGAGAAAAAAACGAAAATGAAATTCTGAAAAAACAGACAAACGAAGAGAGACACGCAACATAATAGTTATATAATATGAATTAAATTGAACAATGAACGAGAAAAAAAGAAAAAACGAAACGAAAAACGACATCGCTAATAAGAGTAATGATGTTATTAATAATAGAAGATCGGCCAGAAAAAGAAAATAAAAGTAGAAGAGTAAACAGAAAATAGGCAGACGCGTGCTGTTTTTTTTTTCTATATGGTCGAAAAGCTATGCTTTGTTATTAAAGTCAATTTGAAGAGAAAACTTTTTTAAAATAAAATAAAACATGATAAGTAACATGATTTTATTTATTCTCTATCAAATGATCTGGAAGATTGGTATAAAACCAAAAAAATGAGTATTTTCTTTTCAATCTAATATTCTCACAAAAAATAAACTAAACTGCTCATAGAGGCTGGCTTAAGACGAAGTATTTAAAAAAACCACAAACACGATTTTCTCCTTTTTCTAACACCTTGATGACAACAAACAAATGAATGTGTAGATAGATATATTTTACCACATAATAATAATAATAATAATAATAATAATGATAATAAGTAAAACAATATGAGAATAGTATAGGGTTAGGAAGGAGTTCTGAATCTTTGTACGTCGAACGACAAGAACGAAAAAACAAACGTGAAAGAGAAAAACACATTTAAAAAGCAAATCATTATCAATGTGTTTGAGAATGAAACAAAAAAAAATGAAAAGAAGAATGTAAAATTAACCGATAACGGGCAAATACAGCGCGTTTTAACCTGCATTAAAATCAAACGGAAAGAGATGAAGCAAAATAATTTCATTTATTTTAGGATTTTTTTAGCTAGAAATGTTACGAACGACCATCTGATGATGTTACATAATTTGAATATCCATTTGTTGTTGTTGTTGTCATTACATGTTGTTGCGGCCATCTTTGAATGGAAGGCGATATGAGATTATTATTATTCGTGATTACATTCGATGATGTGGAGGACGATGGACTGGATATTTGTGGCACTGGTTGTTGTTGCTGTGGCTGTGATGGTATAGACCATTGTTGTGAACTATTATCAATTTTGCCCAAAGAAACAATGGCAGGATCGGTCAAAGGAGCATTCATCAACCATCGATCGTTTGAAATATTTTGGCTAAAGGGAACTAAAATGGAAATTAGAATGAAAAAATATTTCGTCACACAAACTGTAAAGAATCAAAGATTTACATGCACCAAAAAAATGAAATTCTACTCTACGTAAAAGTCTATCAGAAAGTTTAACGATTCTAAAGCTAAACTTCTTCAATTCTTAGACAAAAAAAAAGAGCAACATACTATTGTTCTGTGTTAGATTTGAATATCCAATCGGATTATTTAAAAGATGATTTGAAATTTGTTGTTGTGACGGGGATGAAGAGGGTGATTGCTGCTGTAACAGTCGTTGTTGTTGAGGAATTTGATTTGTGAAATCCATTCGAGACGTTGTGATTAATGATTGTGGTGTTGACTGTAGACTAGAAATAGGTATTGATAATGAATGGTGTTGTTGTTGTTGTAACGGAAATGCCATATTCGAATGTGACGATGGTATCTGCATTGTAGATGGGGCCGCCGTCTGAATCCCGTTATACTGATTTGTATTCCACGTTTGTGTGGGTGATGTACCATCTAAATGAGAGAAAATGGTAAAACTATTGGTTCCCACATAAAAGTGTAAAACTAGAAATCGTATTATCCACGTTCGTTCATTTTTTAGGTTGAAAAAAACTACATACTATATGCTGTGTAACGTTTTTGTGCTCTATTCATTAAATCAATCTGTTGTGAATTGTTAATACTATTTGATATATTCATTGAATTATTATTGTTACTATTGCTATTAGGTGATATATAAGAAGTATTTAAACGAATATTATTACTATTATTCGACGTTTGTTTTAATCCTTGCAATTGTAACTGAGTATTTGTATCGGCTGTTGACATCACTGGATTTAATTGTTGTTCATGATGGTAATTATTGTTGAATGCCCGCGACTGAGATGGATTTGGTACTAAATGAACCGAAGGGTGTTGTTGATTATGATATTGTTGAGGTGGTAACTGTAGTTGCTGATGTTGTTGCTGTGCTTGTAACTGTTGTTGGTGTTGAAGTTGTTGCAAATATAGATGTTGATGATTTAACGAGTTTGTCGTCAAAGAGGGAAGTGGAATATTGCTATTATTATTCATAAACCTAGATAACGAATTCATGTTTTTCGATGATGGCCTGCGTTCATCTTCTATATCTGAAGCAAGTGCTGTCATAAATAGACTGCATGGATCGAAGCCTACAGTAAAAACAAAGTTAAATGAGTGTAAAAAAATACTGAAAAGCACTTTATTTACCTAAATCCCCTTCATCATTCTCTTGTCCGACTGGATGTAAACCATTATCACGACTATCATCTAAAAAAAGTATGAATACCTATTACTAAATGGAAGACGAATAAAATCAGTGCATTTTTTTGACGGCGTCGATAATGTATGGGTAGACAAAAGAACGTTAAGTTATGCAGAGAAAATCAAGTCAGATTTTCTATTACGAGTACATACACGTCTTTCGAGAAGGGAGAGATTATACAGGTTGAATAATTGAGCAAACAAAGTAGATCATCAACAACCAAACGATAGTTAAACGGCATCACACTGCCCTTCATCCTTTTCCTTTGCAATATCATTACATTTTATTCAATTCGTTGAATAAAATATTCTTTGCAGCATTACTTTATTTCCGCTACACGACAGTTTGTTGCCTTTTTTTAGTTGACAAACGGAGCACCTCTTTGAAAAATAGATGTATTCGTAAATCTTACCTATAAATCTTTTTAGCTGCTCATCGGCATCATTAATTCCATTTTCTTGTTTCGTCGTTGATTCTCTGCCAAATAAAAGTAAATGTATCGGTGGCATATTTGAACCAAACGGTTTATATTCAGGTATTTCATCAAAATTTAAATTTTTCACTGCACTTGTTGACGTGGACGAAGATGGTAGACCACCGTTAGTGAGAAGAAAATTACTTTTATTTGACGACGCTGTCGACTGAGCAGCTAATTGATTATTTGACAACGATAAAACATTTTGAAACATTGACATTTTGTTTGTCGTTGATGGTTTATTACTATTAGATGCTGTCTGATGGGATTGTTGGGATGGCGAAGGTGATGATGTATTATTGATACTGAAAAAAGAAGATGATTCATCAGACCAATTTGCATTATTTGTAGTAATTGTCGCTTGTGTTGTTGTGACTGGGTGTGATATTGTGCACGGGAGGTTTAGTTGTGTGGTAGTCGTGCTAGTTGAGGAACATGGTATTTGTTGAGTGCTGTTGATAACTGTTGCTGATTCACAAGAATAGGATGATTGAGAAGAAGATGAAGAACTGGACGAGGACGAGAGAGAGGGTGGAATTAAATTTGTATTGTCGCTATTTGCAGTGGATGTAGTGCTAAAAAAACATGAACCACAGTAAATAATCATAATAACTAGTTTAAAACTTACGTTAAAAAAGAGTCAGTCTCATAATCATTCATTTGTTGCTCGTTAATGGATGTGATTCCTGTAGAATCAAGTGTTTCATCACATAAGGAACTTGTACTAGATTCTGGTTGATCATGATCTGGTTGTGACGTTGAACCATTCATTATTCTGGTTGTGGTTAATAGTTGTGATGACGGCTGAATAGCACCAGCCAATGGTTGTGACGTTTTCCGTCTTGGAGGTGATTCTGGCTTACTATTAATATAACAACACAAAGAAAATAAGTTAAATTTACCCAAATGATAAGTCTACAGACCTAAGCTAAATCATTAGTGAAGATCTTTCTATAAATTTCGTTTAACGATCCCGGCGAAATCGGGTCACTTTTAATCTACACTACTTGTCAAAATTTTTTCTTTTATCAACCGATAAAGCCTAGGGAACAAAATCATCACTCACCCGTTTGTCACTCTTCCATTTCTAGCTAATTGTGCTGTAGCTGTTTTATTTATATACTGTTCCATCAATTTTCTTTCATACTCTAAATGTAACCTAAAAAGAGAAAGTGAACTTTGCGAATATAGTCCAAAAAGATAAAAACTGCAGAATTCTCTCTACTGAAAGCTTGTCTTTCTAGAAGTGGAGTGCAAATTATAGTCTCATCAAAGATTATAAGGTGAATGAAAGATTTTTTACAAAATCTACTTTACCCTTGTTGCATTTGTTCTTTGGTAAAACTTGCTGCTTGATCACCTGGTTCATGGAGGTATAGACAATCTACTTTTTGACAATTAGTACCTTTCAAATATCGACTACAATATTTGGTTGTGCCCAATGTTGCTTTTAATGTTCTACCATCAACGTGATAATTACACACAGCTTGTATTGTTCTTAACGCTTCATCCGAACGCGAATATGTGATATACGCGCATATACTGTTACTTTGTCCATTGTGTGCGGGACTAGTGACAATTTTGATAATCTTTCCATATTTACCAAAATAATCTTGCCTTCTCAATAATTCTGTTTCAGATAAACGTGACGGCAAGCCATTGACAAATACAAGATTTTTTTGTACAACTCTGAAGAAACGAGACTTTCGATATAAATTGTACTCATAAATAATTGAATGAACAGTAAAATACCTCAAATTTGCCAGATGTTTTCGACTTTCTGTAAGCTTTTGTTTTTTCTGAGATTCTTTTAGTTTCCTTTCCCGTTTTACTTGTTGTATTCTAAATAAAAACAGTTATTTGATTATTTTTGTTCAGAAATATAGAATATATCTTACTCTTCTTCAGTCAGAGGTTTGAACTGTGCAGGATTTTCACTATATGGCTAAAAATCAATATTAAATATAACTTGGTGTGTTAACACGAGTGTTTATGTACCTTTCGGCAAGCAGGACAAAGACCATTCTCATCAGTACGAATTCTATGCCAACAAAATCGACAAATCTGTTAATGAGAATACGAAGAAAGGGATATCAATAAATGGATAAAAAATAAGGTTTCTCATTAAAATAAATAAAATACCTGATATCCACAACTACATGGCAAAAAATTGATATCATCTGCTTCGAGTACTTCAAGACATAACGGACACTAAAAGGAAACCAAAAAATTGAGTAATTTTTGTATTCCACCGACAATGCAATGAATACTTTACCTCTAGTGTCTCAGTATCAGCATCCATAAGGAAAAAAATCAAGGATTATTATTCACTCGATTACGCAAATATTTGAGTAAATCTACAATATTTTTAAAAACAAATCACTAGAAAGTAGAAGAACATTTAAAGTTTAGCTATTCAGTCCGACCTAACTTGATTACATGCAAGCTATCTATTTAAATTCTGTTTCAAGCTGTCTATGTAAATTCTGTTTCAAGCTATCTATTTAGATTCCACCTGAAACTGAGAACGAAAAAATTTTTCATATCAAAGTAAACAACCGTTCATCTTATATCTTTAGAGCACATTAGTCAAGATCAGGAACGTAATTAACTGCGAGCAAATTCGAATTTTGTTCCAAATGTTTGTTGTCATCCTATCGCTTACTATTACAATAAAATAATCCCAAAGCTCAGAAATATCCAATAAAACAACTGAGATATATGTTAAAAGCAAGTTTTTCGTCAACTTTTGCTCTTAACTCATATATTAGGACTAAACATAAACCTAACTTTAAATCTTAGCATGCCCAAACCAATTAATTGTATGTGATAATATCACAAGATAATAATAATGTTTTTTTTGTTCTCCTTTTACTAAATCCTATAGGACAGTCGGGTAGTCAATGAAAACACTGCATTTAAACAGCTTTGATTACACATATAAGTTTTCCTTCTCTAGATAAGATATACTAAACTTCTGATGAAGTTGTCAAAGAACTAGTATTACATACTTCTGCTGTGTCAGTTAGACTGTTTATGACAGATTGTAACGCCATCTAGTACTTGTATCCGTCGTTAGCTTAAGTTTGCCAAAACAACTAACAACGCATTTTCTTTCTTGTCAGAGACCTAGAGAAAGATACTCTATTTCAAGATAATCTGATACTTCCGCACTGCCGATTACCTACTTCAACCCATTTGACATGTAAATAAATAATTTCAAGATTATTTGGGTTAAAAAAAGCGGAGAAGTAAAATAAATAAAAAAATTTTTGAATTAAGTTACTAGCTTTCGTTTCGCATATTGGGAAGAAATAACAGTATAAATAGCTTTTGAAAGCTGGGAAGTAAAGGTTTGTGGTGATCTCAAGTTTGTGGGCGTTAAATAAACTCGCGACATCTACCCCTTCCGATTAATAAATTACTATGTTGTACTATAATATAGAAGTTTTAATAGAACTGAAAGACATTGTTGTATCATAAGCAAAGCATTTTGTTATAGCTGTTCTACAGTTGTGGATACTGATTTATCAACATTTTAACCAATGTTCGTTCCAGATTTCTTGGTATCCATCAGTAAAACTGAACTAGGTTGCAAACTATTTTCTCACAAAAATCTTTTTGATTTCAGAAAAATGATTTTTTCATCAATTAATGGAACAAAATAATAACAAAGAGATTGCAAGCTGCGTAAAAGCAGCTGTTCGGTACGTATGTGAATAGTATTTCGGCTTCACGTAGCTCTTTCTCTGATTGTGTAAAGTATATGCTTTAAAGAAGACGCTTTCCTTCGGTACTTCTACGGATCGATCACCTCCCTACCACTATCATCACTCACCCTCACCGCTACCACCGCTCACTTTTACCGCTAGGAAGATGATCGATGTAGAAGAACCTTTCCTTCAAACAAAGCTCATCTGCAAATTATACTAACTTGTAGCATCTCGTTCAGAAGGTAAGTCTTCTATAGGAGCATTTTGATTGGCGAAATTACTATTGATATCATTAATTGTGTACATCTAGCTATAATAGACTTTCGTCAGCTGCTTATTACTAGCGAAGTATATCAATCTCATTGATCTCATGCTATTTCATATTCATTTTGACTGCCTATTCTAGTGTTCGCCCTTTGTCGAGTAGTGAAAAACAAGATTTATGTCAAACATGTGTTGAAGTTCAACGTTCGACAAATGAAATCATTTTGGCAAACAGTACCGCATTCACATTCGACTATGTATTCTTACCTGAAGCTAATCAAGATGATTTGTACAAGGAGTGTGTGCATGATATGATTGAAGGATGTTTTCAAGGCTACAGTGCATCGATATTAGCGTATGGTCAAACAGGTAGTGGTAAAACATTTACAATGGGTAGTGGTATTGAATATATGGATCCTACGAAAGAAGGCATTATTCCTAGAGCAATCATTCATATCTTTCAACGTTGTGCCAGTTATGAACGGCAAGCAGAAGAACAAAATATTTCATTAGCAAAATGTGTTGTTTCATGTCAATTTATCGAAGTGAGGAGATAGGTAACGAATATCAAAATGCATATAATCTAGTCCGATATTGTTTAAGATATATAATGAACAAATATTCGATTTATTTAATAAAGAAAATATTGATTGTCGTACACAAAAACATGTTGATAAACATGTTGTATTTGAAAATACAAATGGTGAAATAACAGTTAGTAACATTACAACAAGATTCGTTACATCGGCGAATGAAGTCAGTATATATCGTATTGTTAATTCTATTATCTAATTACATTGTATCTACTTAGACATTGGAATGTTTAAAAGAAGGAGCACTAAGTCGAACAACAGCTGCTACTCGAATGAATAATGTTTCTAGTCGTTCTCATGCCATATTTACAGTAACACTTCAATTCGATCGTGCCGTTCAGTCAACAAATGTAAATAAAATGTTGTGCTCTTCAATTATTTTTATTGCTGATCATTTTTTCAATTTTAGTCAACTGCAACTTCGAGCGATATCCGGGAACATATACGAGCAAAAATTCATTTTGTTGATTTAGCCGGTTCAGAAAGCTTAAAGCGTACAGGTGCGACTGGTCTGCGTGCAAAAGAAGGGATTAGCATCAATAGTGGTCTAGTAAGTATGAAATTTATTTTGTTTAATAATCGACGAATATATGTTTTAATTATTTTTTAGTTAGTTCTCGGCAATGTTATTAGTGTTTTGGGTGATCCATTGAAAAAAGCAGCGCATGTTCCATACCGTGACTCAAAACTAACTCGTCTTCTCCAGGACTCTTTAGGTGGTAATAGGTAATTTTTTTTGTCAAAACTAAAAATGAAACACTTAAAATTCGCACGTCCATATTTAGTCGTACGCTGATGATAGCATGTATTTCACCAGTTGATCGTGATTTTTCGGAAACAAAAAGCACATTGAATTACGCACAACGAGCACGAAACATTAGAAACCGTGTGAAAGTCAATCAAGATAAACACAGTCGGCAAGTTGTGCAATTGCAAATGGAAATTGAAAGATTACGAGCAATAGTCGAAAAATATGAACGTCCAGCGGTAAGCGATTAGATTTTTTCTATTTATATTATCTTCAGACTAAAATGAAAAATCAAAATGTTTGGAATTTGTATCTTTTTTCATTTTCTCTAGTCTGAATTTGATTCAGCAAGTAATAGTGTATTGAGTATTGAACTTGATCGTATTCGATCATATGTTTACACAATACAACGTACAATAGAGGAAACAAATACGGCTTCATTAACGTTAAAGGAAGATTTAGAATTGATCCGTAACCATCGTCAACATGATCAACAACCACAGAAAGATACCCTTGAAGATAAATGCACATTATTAGGCGAGCAATGTATGGAAATTGTAAATCATGGTCAACAAATTCATACGTTTTGTCTTTATTTTTTCAGCGTTTGATTATGACGAAGCACTTAAGCAATGTTTAATGAAAAGTGAAGAAATACAGTAAGAATGATATAAAGAGAAGCGTCTATTTTATTGTTTGCCTCTTTTTTATTAAACAGATGTCGGCTGTCTCGAATGATTGATGTTAGCAATGTTCTTCAACGAAAAAGTCCAATAGCTAATCGACGACGAAGTCGTTTATCAACAAGTGAGCTGAAAATTATAGATGTTAATTTTTTTATTAAAATTATGATCTATCTTAGTGATAAGGAGGAAAAGAGTTGTGAAGCGGCTAAAAAGGTAATTTTGTATGGCTAAATCTAGTCTGTGGTGACGCTTTGAATCAGACTAAGGCTTAACACAAAAAATATAGAATTAGTGATTTATCTAGCAGACGAGCCGAAGGTTCGGCGCCCGTCGCTTTCCAGTTTGCCATGCCAGAAATTAACAATTGATTTGGCAAAACATAACATTACAGACAGTATCCCTCTCGGAATATTTATGTGCCTCTCGAGTAGATGAAACGTAGATCAATCACTGTAGAATGAGATTGGATGCTTAACTGATTTAACACTTGATCATGTCTTGTTTTGTTCAACCAATAATTACTATGTGTTTTCTTGCATATTTAATTAGATTTTACGATGAAAAATTACGTTAATTTACTTGTTGGTAAAAAAAACAAAGTGTCACATTTAAAAGCTTCTTCACCTTTTCCTGTTGCTACGCACTTACACGTTTGTTTTCAATATTCTAAAACCTGTTTTCCTTGTTTTTGGCTTCATCTTGTGATCAGTTCCTTTTTCCTTCTCTAAGTTATTCAACAATGTATATTCAGTGGTACTTTTTTGATTGCACAAAAGTATAAAGTAAATGTCTCTCAAATTGTCGTACACTGCGTTTCGTTGCTTTCTTTTGCTTTCTAACATCTTTAAAAAAACCGATTGAAATGACAAATTCGTAGTTTATTATTTTGGCATAAGAATCAGGTTCATTAAATTCTATAGCAGAGGTTCAGAATGTTTCATCGCTTTCTCGAGCGAGTCTAAAAATCTCCCCAAAACAAAGTGAAACGATGATATTTCACTTTCTCCTTCGACAATATGACTTCAGGGACACTTTCAAGAATCTTCCTAAAATATTTTTTTCCTTTCAGTGGTAATATGAATTGAAAATTTCAAAAATTTCCCCTAAGTCATTATTTTCTTTCCAGAGCGCTGCTTGCACTTAAGGCATTCTGAATCTCTGCTCTATGGTCATTAAGCTTTTACAATTGTTCAAAAATGTGTTGTAATGTTGTCACTTATGTTCTTTCTGTAACATGCTTTGTTAGTGGTGTATAGTAGTTTTAATTCATATTTTTTGCACTTAACTAGGTTTGTAATACTGATCGTCTATTTTAGGATCATTTTCATGCGATCAATCAATTGCAACCGACTATCAAACGCCAAATGATGAACTCCAACCGTGTATTGAAGATATTCGACTACAAATCGATCGTTTAAGACAAGAACAACAGTTAATTCGAGAAAGGTAACTTTAAAAACATCAAATATGTTTTGTTAACTGTTATTTTTTTGTTTATTTGTAGTGGTTCTGCTAAAAAAGGACTGTGTTCATCGACTATTCCTGGTTCACCACAATCACCCAGTGAGACACATGTTCAACCAATAAGATATCCATTGTATACAAATTCATCTGAACCACAGTTGGAACTTATGCCAATTGAAGAACATGAACCAACACCAGGAAGTGATGATGAAGATGAACAAAACGATCAAGAGAATGAAAATGAAAATGAAAATGTTCAAATATCAGATCAACAGGAACAAAGTAAAAAAGCAATAATATGCTTGTTTTCTTTTATAAGACAATTTTTTTTCTTTGTTTAGATGCACAAGAAGAAAAATTAGTTCTTATAACAACGGAAATCAATCAAAAACAGCGTTGTCTAGAAGCGTTAGAAAATGCACGAAAACGTAGTGATGTTGTTCGTCTACGTTATGAAGAGAAAATTAAATTGCTACAAGAACGTATTTCACATGCTGAAGAAGATAAACAGTCGGCTGTAACAAAATTCAGTGAGTATAACGAGAACTACAACTGTAAATCTTAGCGTAAAGAATGATCTATCAATTCGTTTTATTATAGCATCATGTAGTCGTGATACACAAAATCTTGAAGAATTAAAATTGGCACGTCGTGATTATGAAGATAAAATACGTCGGCTTGAAATTGAAAATAATGAATTATCAGCGCTCCGTGCTCAATACGCTGTTTGTATTAAAGATGGTGATTATTATAAACGTGAATTAGCAAAACATAATAATGAAATGAAAGATTTAAGAAAAATGAAAGTAAGTTGAAATAAAATCTATAATTTTTCTATTTATTATCTAATATTGTTACTTAGGTACAATTAACACGTGAACTTCGTCAAGAATTTAATCGTCATCGACAAGCAGAACAAGCTCGTGCACGAGAAATAGCTACATTAAAACGAGTATGTAGAATAGCACGTATTCTTCATCAATATCTTATGTTTTGATATTAAATTTTAGACTCAAGTACAAAAAGAAAATGAAATTCGAACATTACGTGCAGCACATAAACAAAAAGAAATAATATTGAAAAGAAAACAAGAAGAAGTTAGTTGTTTATTAGAAAAAAAATGTTAACAGATAACAGTAAAAATTCTTTCCTATTTAGGTTCATTTACTTCGTCGTCAGATGCGTACAGCTCGAATGAGAAAAACAACAAATGAAATGGCTGCCCATTTTTCATCGATTCATCAAGGAGTAAGAGTGTGTGTGTGTGTGTGTGTGTGATATTGTCAACGCTTTAATTCTTCTCTTAGATTGCTAACGCTATACGTCGTCGAAAACTGATTGCAGGTGTTAATCGCGATATGAAATCGCTAATTGAAAATCGTGAGCGTATAAGTAGAAAACGTGAACGTTATCTGCAACGTTTGAGTTCAGCAATTGTGACGAACAATGATCAAAAGGTATTGATCATCATGTTTAATTTATCTTCTTGTAATTAATAACATGTGTTGCTATCATTTAGTCTGATGATCAAGCGTGTAAACTACGAGAAAAGATAACAAAATTAGAAAGTAATATTACATATTTAAATTCTCAAATTGCTTCCTGTCAACAATGTTTAATGGCTTATGATGAAGAAGATACAACCGAATTACAAGGACCAGATCCACAATTGATTGTCGACTGTGTTACGGATACAGATGAATTACGTTATTTATTAACGAAAATGATTGAACAAACTATTGAAAAAGTAGAGAATGATTTTCAAATCTATACCTCAATTTACTATCTTTGGATATTTTAAGCGCAGAATGCACATGATACCCGACTAAAAAATTTAGAAATCTCACATTTAACTATTCTACACATCAAATTATTTTTTATTATTTAGGGTTTTGAAGCCGAAGAAGCGAATGAAATGAAAGATGAATTACAAACAGAAGTAAATCAATTTGAACGAACAATACGTTTACAACAAGAAATGATTACGGCATTGCCAACATCAGCAAATGCAACCACAATAATATCATCAGCAACAACGCCGAATAGTTTGTCTTCTACATCAACAGCTAAAAGACAAAAAACTTATCACTCGTCAGCGAAAACAAAACGAAAAAAATCCAGTGATAACAATATTGAAGATGATTGTGAATCAATTGATGAAATTATTTTGCAGGTATTATAACGGGTCTACGAAAGATGCGCATGACGAAAGTTGCGCACCGAACGATGCGCACGAGAAACTTACACACAGCGAATCTTCCGCACGGGTAGGTTGCGCACGCAATAACAAATTCTTATTTTATATTTATATTTACAAAATCCTAAGACTTTTAATTGCCATTATCATTTATATACATGTAATTCTACTAGTGTTCATAAGTGAAATGAAAATATTGTGAAGACTATACAAAACAATATTCTCAGACTCAAGAGTTTGATGCAAGCAACAGTGCTTTGATCATCTTTAAACGATTTTCTCAAGTACAATTGTGAACTTGAGTTTGGCATGCGATCGTATTTAAAAGATCATATATATCAGATCATCAATCATCAAAGGCACTAAGTTATAAACAGATGAATAGTCATCTTATCCGATGAATTAATTAACTGTAATAATTATTTTGTCTTTCTGATGCTTTAATAGTTTAAAGTCTTTTTAAATTTAAGACTTTGTTATTGCGTGCGCATTGTTCGGTGCACAACTTTCGGGATCCCATTATAACACTATTTATTCATGCCAGAGTGAACGTTATATGATAGAAAGTAATAGATGAATTTATATAATGAAAGAGTACTTTTACTTTTATTGATTTAAAAGAACGTCTTCTTTTTTTCGGCAATTAGTTATGAATTTTCTTTGTTACTAGCCACATTGGGAAGACAATGAAAGTACAGATGACGAAACAGAAATAGGCGAAGACGCGGATGATAGTGATGATGATGATCGACCACGTGGAATACTTCAACCGATTCCAGCTGTAGATTCTCAACAACCAAAACAGCAGCCACTATTGAATAGTACTCCAGTCAACAATCATAAGCAACAATTGCTGCCAATAAATACCTATACAGTAAAGAAACCAAATAGTAATGCGGTACAAATATGATAAAGCTATGAGACTATTATCGATCTTTTTTCTTTTTACTATTTATGAAATTAATAATCTATCTTCTTTTTGTAATATTTATCATTCCAAACTTCTTCATTTTATGCTTTCCTTTCATCTTGTTCTCTGGTGAGCCATACATTCTCCTTGGTTTTTGTTATATTTCGTGTCCACGAATGGTAAGTGTAGTGAGGTGCTATCTGTTGCCTGTTCAACTTAATGTTGTTGTAGTTAAAGCAGAAGTGTTTTTTGCTATTTTTATTATTTTGTTCTTTATTTCAAAGTGAATTTGTAAATATGGTTTAGAATGAATGAGAAATGTGCTATTTGCACCGTCCATTCAACATATGCCGACAGAGATTCAGCTATCAATTCTTCTAAAATTTTATTTTTCCCTGTTTAATAGTTGATACTGGTGGTTTTTTTCTTCACCCTTTGTCTGTCTCATCTCTCTTTACAGATATTCCTTATATGTATATGTTGAACACAGTGTTCATTTTGCCTTTGTCTCTCATCTTTTTTTTGCTAGATTTGTACATCTAATGTAAAATAAAATAGTCAGATAGAAAAGAGAAATGAAATAAAACTTATCTCATAGAACAAATATTTTTTGTATTTTCGTATTGAAATGAATAATAATAATATTCTTAGTAATATTCCTCATGATAAGTTTGAAAATATTTTCTAAACTTTGTTCAATAATTAATATTAACAAACCTCTAATATAATTTGTAAAAAAGGTCGTAAAACATCGGCTGACTTTTATTTGTCTCGAGATAGTACATGATCAATCACCGTTCAACATTCCAATGAAAGTACAATATATAAAAATATTCTCAGTTGCACTTATAACAAAACACCATTAAAATAAAAATATCTCATAAATCATTTTGTTCGTATTTCGTTAGCAGCACATACAGATAAGCGAAACAAAACTAATCTGATTTTTATTCAATGTCATTTTATATTGGCTATATTTGTTTATTTAGTTTTCCTATTTTCAACATGTAATATCACAGTTTATATGCATCTATAGCAGCCACGTTGAGTCTGAATCATAACTTGCATTCGAGTCACATTTTTCTATCACGCAAACGCGAACTCGACCTTGAAGCAAAAGACTCCATAAAATTTGAAAAACTGAGTTGAGTTACTTCTGTGACACTTTGCATTATTGTGAGTATGTCTCCTGTATTTGTTATAGATAGAAAGACAGAAAGTGAGAGAGAGAGAGAGAGAGAGAGAGAGAAAGAGAGATTGAAAAATAATCTTTAAACGAACAATCGTGTCATGTGGAAGGGTTGAAGAAACAATAGAGACGATGTTCTTGTCAAAATGAACTAGTGGAAATGTTAACCCTCGAAAATGAGAATACGATCAACTAACCCGTGATTAAATGTGTTGTTCTATGTTTCCGTTCCGGATTTCCACTTTTTTTTTATGAGTTTTTTCCTTTACAGATAGATTTTCGGAATGATATGTAGGAGCAGCACTTAAGAAATCGAGAATAATCTAGCTTGGTCCTACCTTACATGGAAATCTTAGTAGGTTTTACTATGAGGTATGTTATTTCTAATGTTCCTGTTAAAGCTAATGCCATGATATCTGGAAGGAATATTGATTTAATAAATGTTGCTTCATTTGATGTTGTTCGTCTGTGAGAACCTGCAACTCGACCTGATCCTTGGCTCTATTCATATTCAACCTTTACAGCCAAAAGTAAAATCTAGTTGTTTTTATTTGTTCCTGCTCTAATTGTTATATTTGCGATTGGTCGCATAATAATAAAATATTGAGTAGAAAAAATCCTTTTCAAGTTAAAGTCAATTAGTGTCAATCGGAATTCATTTTTATTTTTAATCTCAAAACCGACTAGTTGAACACGTACGGTTGGAAGTATGCAGAAGAAACATTAGTCAAAGTTACTAATATTCGACTGATCACTGTCTCAGAGATGGGAACCTTCAACTAAATAGTCGAAATTAGCCATGCACCCGTTACAACCGATAAATTTCACATTTTTTCTGTAATCGATTGCATGAAAATTACGCATATTAAATTTTTTCTAACGACTGAATTTTGTAGAACAAATATTTTTCTACAAGATGAGCAGAATGTTATATTTCTGCCGCAATTGCTTTTCGACGAAGAGCCCTAAATCGGTTATAACCGATCTTTTCAGAAATCTTATTTTTATAAGTACTGAATCAAGAGGAAGGACATTCCCATAGCTCATCTTCTAGAAAAATGTTGGCTCTACAAAATCCAGTTGTTTGAAAAATTTTAGCGAATCCATTTTCGATCAGAAAAACTTTTTTCAAAAAAAGTGCACAATTTCAATCGGCTATAATCGATGCATACCTAGTCGAGATATCAATTGGTCTGAGAATGATATGTTGATTAGCGACGAAAATTGATCCGAATCTGACCCTAGAGTCTAATATTCAGGTTCAGTCTTCTACAACACAGATTAAAATATAGATAAAAGCTCCAGATTTATATTTTTCTAGCTTGAAACTAATCCTTACTTGAAATTTTTAGTTGAATACTTATTTCAAAACAACTGCATTAATACATCTCATTGATCGTCGATTTCTCCGCACACAAAGAGACACTTTCCTTTATTGAAATCAACATTTTTAGTAAAATATTTTATTCTAATAAAAATTGTATGATGGTTCTAATGAGAAACCTTTTCAGCTGAGGGTGCCTGTTAGAGGCAGGCATGAGTGAGTCCGAGGGGTTCCGAACCGAGTCCCAGTTCTTAAAAATTCAAGCCGAGTCTGAGTCCATTTTGAGTCCGGTAATTTTCTAGATTCTTTTTTGATGATAGTGATTTATTTCTCTTTTTTAATTTACTGAGCCCTGGATAGATATTTGATTTTTCGAAAATGAAGTTACCTCACATGTCCGTCGCCCGAACAAAATTTTCAATTTCTTGTGAAACAGAAGGTGTTGTTTTTTCGCTTTTCATTTTTCTCTGTTCAGTTGTGTTAAAAGTTGAATAGATCGGACTCGAAATACAAAAACTCAAGTCTGAGTCCGAGTCCGCCAAAAAATCTTTCAGTCCGGTCTTGGGCTCACCCATGCCTGGTTAGAGGAGGAGAAAAATATTTTAAATACGATGAATTTAACTTGTTTTCAAACCTATTATTTCTTAATCTCATTTTATGTTTATATTTTTATATTCATGATATATCTGATGCGCACGATCATTTATCCTAAAATTTTCACTTAGCCATCTGTCTATTGAATAGCCGTTGTCATTATTAACAGCATTGTAACTCAAAAATTAATCAATATGACAGTATTTTGAGTATATGTACTTTAGCTACAAAAAAAGAACATTTTTCATCGCGGTTAGAAAGTTATTATAATAACATACGCTATCAGTAGTGTTTAAAGTCGTTCTTTTATAGAATACATCAGACAACTTTAGTGTTTAATCAAAACTCTCCTTAAAACTTCATCTCTGTTATATCAAACCATAACAGGAACGAAAAGTTTCTCTATAGCGACATCTTTTATCTTGTATTGGACTGGTTTTTAGTCAATTACTGTCGGCAGTTGTCACATGCTGGAGATTCAGGTACCGATGCGATAATAAAGCTTTCCGTTGTAGATTATTTTTGAACTCATAAATGAAACATTGATTAATGAGAATCAAAATTTTCGTTATTTATTATAATAAACTGATATAAATTTATTTAATTATTTTACGACATCTATTTACATTTTGTTCAAAAATTTTCCTTTTTAAAACTAATTTATTTGAACAAATACAAATGAATAATAATGAAAAAAATTCTGGTTCTAACACGAATATGTTTGTATAGTATCATTACAGGTCATCTTGATCTATGTTGAATTAACCCACACACTGATACTTGGTCACGATGCACTTAACAGAGGTAATGACAGTATTATAATGATTTATTTACGAAAAGTGAAATCGATAGGAATAGTTCGTGTTTGATCACAGTTTTCAGAAGGTTCATACACCAAGCTGGTTCTGATTTAATACAGTTCAAATCGATTCGATTTATAATGTTCAACTAAACATTATTAAGACTACAATAAATAACTTTTAAGTATCATCGTAAGTAAAGAACAAACTGTTTAGTTCTCCAAGAAGTTAAACTCATGATATTTTGTTTCGAACTCAAATCTTCCCTATTGCTTGAGACCTGACTGGTTATTTTGTGGAACTGAGTCCGCCTTATAATTCTGAAGAAATAAATAATAAAAGTTTTTACTCAAAAACTTCGGAATTTGGGCAATTTTTTGTTTCTCTCTCCCTGTTACAGGCAGATGACTATTTCTAAGATAGTAATCTCTTAGAAACCGTTGATAGAAGAATGCTTCTATGAGAATGTTTTTGATAGTTCATCATAGTTGCGGCATTAAGATATTTCCGGAGGATCTATGTTTTCCCAAAACTTTTCGGAACTGTCAGAGTTATTGTGATGCCAAAACATTTGGTGGGGAGGGAACTAACACCACTTTTTGATACTTTTCACTCCATGAAACAGAAATGTTTTTGTTTGATAAAAAAAGCAAAATTAGGTTGCCTCACTATCTTTCTTCTTTAATACAGTGACAAAACAAAGAACATATCAAACGGTTTTATTCTAGATGTTTATTAATTTGCATATGGATATGGGACGGATAATACCGTGAAAATGTCCGTATGATAATATATCTTTATGTGAAAAAAATCTCAATAAATTATATTTTATTTTTATTATTGGCATTTTAACTAACGATGTCTGGAAAGCTTTCACGAAAAAATTCAAGTAAATAATGGAAATTTATCTCTCTTGTATTACATTCTTCCTTTTCTACATGCTTTTAGTGCCAACAGGGAGGGGGGGATCAAATCGGGGTGGTGGAACTGGTTTACCGTTGGATTTTTATTATAATACGTTAATGAAAACGATATTATGTAACCAAGTATGGGATTACAATGATTTATTCACAATGTTTGTTATTGTTTTCTTTCTATAATTAATAGAATCCTGTTACTGGATTGTTTTCAGCTGGGAAAGATACAGATCATGCATGGGTTCGTGATAATGTCTATGCGATTATGGCTGTCTGGGGATTATCGTTATCATATAAAAAACATCTTGATCAAATGGAAAACTGGACGAGATGTTATGAACTTGAACAAGTAATCTATTCATCTTTGCTTCTTTTTCTGGATAACAATTCATATATTTTTTTGTTTTGTTTAAGAGTGTGGTGAAAACAATGCGTGGACTGTTATCATGTATGATGAAACAAGTATCGAAAGTAGAAAAATTTAAATTAACACTCAACAAAGATGATTGTTTACACGCTAAATACTCATCTGTCACAGGTAAATTAGAATTATTAACCTTTGTTGTGATTTTTATTTTTGTTACTTATATGTCAGGCAATACGGTTGTCGGTGATCATGAATGGGGACATTTACAACTTGATTCAACATCGTTATATCTATTAATGTTAGGAGAAATGACATCTTCTGGTAAGAATCATAAATATAAACATTAAACAATTATTTTAAATAGTCTGTTTTAGGTTTACAAATTGTGTTTACATTAGATGAAGTTGATTTTTTGCAAAATCTTATCTTTTATGTTGAACAATCCTACATGATTCCAGTATGTTAACATTGAATACATATTTGATCTAATATTATTGAGTTGATTGAATATTTGAAAGGATTATGGTGTATGGGAACGTGGTGATAAAACAAATCATGGTTATCCTGAATTAAATTCAAGTTCAGTCGGAATGGCAAAAGTAAACTGAAAACATTTGTTTTTTAATTACTTTTATCCTTAATATTTGAGAACTTTTAGGCAGCCTTAGAAGCACTTAATGAACTTGATTTATTTGGTTCAAATGGTGGTCCACGATCCGTTATTCATGTATCAGCCGATTATATCTATTGGTGTCATTTAGTGTTAAAATCTATGCTTCCAAGAGAATCATTTTCAAAGGTTTCTTTTGATTTTTAATAACATTTTTCGAAATTATATAAAATATTTGTCGTATCTTTTGAGTTGTAGGAAAGTGATGCATCCTTATTAAGTATTATTAGTTATCCGGCATTCGCAGTTGAAGATCTGGAATTAGTTACCGAAACTAAACAAAGTATCATTAGTAAATTACAAGGAAGATATGGTTTATCAAGATTTTTACGTGATGGCCATAAAACGCCAATAGAAGTAACAGATATATGAAAAATACATCTAGCACATTACGATGAAAGTAATATTTTTCCTATTAGGACGTGTCACGTTTACATTATGAACCCCATGAATTAAAGTGTTTTGAAAAAATTGAATGTGAATGGCCAATGTTTTTTTGTTATTTGATTCTTGATGGTTTATTTCATGAAAATGAAAATCAAGTAGAACATTCTTGTATAACGGCTAAAAATGATAATAATTTTCTTTTCTACCTATTAGGTTGAACTATACCATGGTCTATTAGAAGAATGTGTTATACGTGATTCTGATGATATTCCGATACTTCCCGAGTTATATGCCGTGCCTGCATCCAAAGTTAGACTATCTTTTTATGAGAAGACTTTTTATTCGATAAATTTTACCTTTTTATTTTAAGGTTGAAGAGGAAAAACGTGATCCTCATAGTAAAAAACGTATACCCATGGGAAGAATGCCGCAAATGTGGGGACAATCACTCTACATTTTAGCAATGTTAGTTAGAGATGTAAGAAAATGGCTTTAAGTAATAAATTACATAACTAAATTATTGATTTTTGTAGGGCTTTCTAGCTCCCGGTGAACTTGATCCATTGAATCGCCGTCTTATTACTGAACCGAAACCAGAAGGTTTCGTTCAAGGTTAGAAATATTTATTGACAATATTTTTAGTTCTTTATAGTCACTGTGTTTCTCTCCTTTAGTTTGTGTATTAACTGATAGTGATATTATACAATCAAAATTAGCATCTGTCGGTATACACATTCAACAATTGAAAGATCTTGAACTTATTCAAGTTCGATCCGTACAAACATTACAAAATATTTATTCGCATCTCGGTAATATAATTCATCTTATTTCCTCGTTTTATGTTTTCCTACAAAAAATGATAATATCACATATAGATAAAAGAAAAAAAGTATCTATTTTACATCTATTATGCAAGCATCTATTTTTATGGACTTAGTAACGATTATTTTCTTGAAATAATTGTTTATATTCTACTTAGGTAAAAACGAACGTCTTGGTTTGACGGGTCGTCCATCGCTTGAAATGGGTCCATTGAGTACATCGAAACTTTATACACTTAACGGAAGAACATTTGCATTTACACCATCAGTAATTAAATTAATATTTGACTTTTTGTGTAGTTTACGTAATCTTATTCTTTTTTTCTTCATTTAGTTTATGGATCAGCGTGCATTTTACTTAGCATCCGATCTTGATTACATATTAGATCATTTTCGTACATATCTGGCATTTATTAATAAACATTGGAATAATATCACTGGACGACCAGTTGTTGCTACAGTACTAAGAGCATCATTGTTCGATGTTGAACAAACGCCACAAAATTTAATTCAAACATTAAAAAAACTTAAAACCGGTTACATTCATGGTGTGAGGTACAAAAACAATCATCATTAAAATTGTTTGTTTCTTTTCACATTATCGATATTATTTGCATATTCTAGAGTACAACTGGGCAAATTGGAAGATTTTATAAATACATCTTGTATAACAAGTTTGGATTTTGTTTTTCGAGAAGATGATAGTGAAGGTATGGATAACATGTTATTTTTGTTGATTTAAGATTAATTATTTGCTCCATATTTTAATCTATGTTGTATTTAGATCCTCAAGAAAAATTTCTCGATTTACTTGAATCAACAGCTGATTATAATAGGCATGCACCTAATTTATTACTTCATCAAAATGTTGATTATCGTTATCCAAAGCGTTATCGTATTAAAAAGTTAGCCGAAATACGTGGAGCTGTTAAACGATCGAGATCCATTCATTATACGGATAATTCACGTATGTTTATGATAATGAATAGTATTCATCATTGTTTGTATTTAATTATTTTAGATAATCTACTTGGTCAGAGTTTAGATGATCAAGATGAAGTAGATGCTAGTGTATTAAATCATATAAGAAGTATGATACAACATGATATATTCCTTTATTTGATATTATAAATCTATTCTATTGTAGCCGACGATCATTCAACAGTATCCTACAATAGACGTGGTGATAATAGTCTCATACGTGATAAACAAGTTCAAGATATAATCGCTTTACTTCAACATACAGATTCAATACAAGATCAAGCTGATATATTACATTGTTTATATATGAACAAGTAGGAGACAACAAAAGATAAATGAATTAATTGAATATCTATTTATTTACACTTTTTTCAACTTTCAGAGGTATCGATTTTGAATTTGAACACAACGGTCATCATGTCACATGCCGTGTTCTAATAGAAGAACTATATGATAGAGCGTGTAAACAAAAAGAATGGTGGTGTGTTCGACATTGTGCGGGAATGTTAAGAATGAGAAATGAGAATATTGCACAGAGTTTAATTGCTATTCTTGCACAACAAAAGCAATTAACTATTGGCCTTCCACCAGCCCCACGAGAACACGTTTTGACTAGTCCAATGCCACTTGACCAGTTATACAATATAATTGTAGCAGCTTCTGGAAATGATCCAACATCGGTCATGCTTACACAGGTGAAGACAGTTCATCTATAAAATTCATATAGAAAATTATAAAAATTGTTCATCTATGTATTTAGGAAATTTTAGTATTTTTAATGTTATTTATATCGACTGAGCCACAGTTGTTCGCAGGAATGATACGAATACGTGTGGGTTTAATTGTACAAGTAATGCTTGGTGAATTAAAACGGACACTTCAATCAACTGGTAAACTCTAATGACCAGTTCGTTTATTGGGTCACAGTTTTACTAACGGAATAATTTTATCTTAGATGAAGATGCTACCGATCATTTGTTGAATTTAAGTCCGTATGAAATTAAAAGTTTATTACATATTATTCTTAGTGGAAAAGAATTTGGTATAAGTGGTATGTTCGATTACTTTTTAATAAAAAAAAGCCCAATATCTATCTTACTATGGCAAAATTTTTTAGAACATTCAACTAAACCAGCTGTTGGTCTTGATAATATGTCAAAACAGGAACGTGAAATGCGTATTATTCGACATGAAATCAAAGTAAAAACATTCTATATTTTTCATTATCTCATAAACATTTAATTAATTTCTTAATTTAGGAAGCAAGTACAAAGAAGTTAAGCGTAAATCTCAATTGGCTTGATCATCCACCAGATGAAGACGATGACGATTTGGGAAAACATGGTCAATGGATCCGTCGCCGAAGACTTGATGGTATTTTATAGGATTCTTTTTGACAACAAATCTAACTATTATTTGTTTCACAGGTGCATTAAATCGTGTTCCCGTTAAATTCTATGGTCAAGTACGTCTGTTGTTTACTTCCTTCATCCATCAACTATATAAGTTCGTTTTATTATAGGTTTGGCAAACGTTAGAAAAGGTACGTTAGTATACGTAGTTATCATATACTTTAGATATGTAAAAATTGTATTTATTTAAAGTGTCATGGAATCAAAATAGCCGGCTACATTCTTTATGATAGTCTTACTCAAGAGGTAAAACTTATAGTTACACGTATACTTTTTCAAACTGTATCTCTCAAACTTATTATCTAGATGACACGTGAAGAAATGAAATTTGCATTACGTGTTGAAGAAGCACTCAATCGTGTACCATTTACAGAATATCGACAATTAATTGTCGAAGCATGTGTCATATTTACATCTATTGCATTGGGTGATGCACGGTATACTAAAAATTTTATATTTTACATTCATCTTGTTGAACGTAATATTTTTCTTTATTCAAGATTTCATTGGGACGATATAATTGTTATTGAAGATATTGTTTCAACAGCGAATCAAATATTTTTACAAGATCAACGTGCATTTGGTGGCGATGCGTCAAAATGTTGTGCAAATGGTGCACCATGTGTTAGTTCGGCTGGCATTTGTGTACATTTTTATGATTCAGCACCAAGTGGACGATTTGGAACAATCAATTATTTCTTACGTGCCTTATTAAAAATATTACATATTGACGAAACAAGTGTATGTTCGATATCATAATAAAAAAGTAATGATACTATCTTTTGTCTTTTCCTACAAACATTATTCATAATTGTTTCATTTTTTTGTTTTTATTATAATTTTATTTTCTATCATATTTGTATTTTAAACTGTTCAAAGTTTATATGAAAGAATGAAATGGTAGACTTTGTTATCCTTGGTTTACCCTGATTGATTTTTTTTTCATATGCATGCGATAACATGTGTTTTTGTTATACAGACGATCTTAGTTGTTTTTTATCTTATTTTCTCCCCGTGTCTGATACAGTTTCGTTTGTAATATTTATTTTCTCTAAAAATGAAACATGATAGAAATAAAATCGAAAAAAATTTAGTACCTATTTTTTCATTGATTAATTAATGAAAAACTTTCTAAAAAAAGTTGAATATAATTGGTATTTAAGAGTGGGTCCAAATAAAAGTCGATCCAAAATATCTATTTTCTCAGGTAAAAAAGATTTAGATTCAGTCTCGAGTTTTCTTTATGTATATATATAATTTGGGATGCAGGATAGGAAATGAAGTGGATGATTCTCTTCCTTCTTGTCGAAATCATTGCTGAAATTAGGCGGCCATATTGATGATTTTTCGCTCTTTAGCCTTCTTCAATTAAATAATTTATAATTTTCCCTCTGTACTCGTTAATTTAACTTTAAATTGAAGCGGACAACATGGGCTACGAAACTGATTACTTTGGCTTCAAAATACGTTTACATGTACTGATATTCAGACTCACTTTTCTGCAAAAATGTGGCTTTTCGTCTTTTGTATTATGGATAAATTTCGCTATCAGATCATACCAGCAAATGAGAAAAAGTACTGAAGTAGATAGACCGCCTATAAGATGATGTCTTGGCTGTGTTTTTCGAGACATCTCGGTTTGTTTCTGTTGTATGCACGAGTTTTTGGGACGATCTTGCTCTGCTTCATTGTTGAATTGCAATTTCAATCGAAATAAACTATGTATTCATGTACTCCATGTAATAGAAAACCAGATGAGGTACTTCTTGTAAAGGCCAATGTATCGAGGATCGAACTGAGTTAGAGTTTAGGTTTTTGTATAGAAAAATGCAAGTAGTTTAATCGATCACAGATTTTTCTGTATGATATAATATGATGAGGTACTCTTCTTTCAACTTGTCAATGATCGTACCATTTTCTGGCTACAAATGAACTATAAGATCCTGCTTCTAGTTTTATAGACAGTATTTAGGCATTAGTAAGGTTTCAAAACGTTAACAGTGCATGACGAATTATTTAAATAAACAATGAAATTACATATAGCTGTATCAATTATTAGCGAATAATCATTATAAGGATTTTTAAATATTTTATAACGTGGATAATTGGGAAGTATTTTCATCAGGCAATGAGATGATTTAAATTTCTTTAAAAATCTTAGTGCAATTTCTGCCTAAGAGTGAAAACAGAAAAATCTATTTATAAGGAGACAATTTACCGATTGTATATCATTCAATAACATATAATCCATCTTTTCAATAATATTTTGTTCTATTAATTGCAATTAATTCCATCTTTTAATTTTTCTAATTTGTCACGCATAATAAGTTTCGCTATAATATAACGAAGAGTATAATTTAGGATGAGTTATCCATACTTTACTGCTTGGCTGTCCATCAAGAAAGATAATGGAAAAGAAAGATAATGGAAATATGAAACTTGGAGTCTTGATGTGGAATGTGCGGAAATGTCTTTTATTTTTTTAAAAGAACGTATGATTCTATTTTCTACTTTCTCTGATACACCTGCGTACAATGGATAACCTTGTAGACATTACGTGAAAAACTAAAAGTGTCCTTTTTGACGCTTCAGATCGTGCTACATATATATAATTCGGATCACGGGCTATTTAACAGCGTAAAAATTTTTGTGCTCTGGTTTTGATACAAGATTCTGGCAAAATACAACCGGAAAAATATTCCATTATAGTATTCTAAACTAAAATTATCGATAATCAGTTTTGTACGAATAAAGATTTTACCATATGAACTTAGCTTTGCAGTAAACTGCAAAACTAAATCCACTATTCTGTGTCTATATCCTGTACGACGATTGAAGTTATGCAATCGACTCGATGTTATCAGTAGTACTTTTTCTGGTATGTTTTAATTTGCGGAAAAAATGCATGACTAAAAAATAGCCCGTATTTTTGTGACCTCTATGGAAAAACAGTTTTTTCTTTAGATTTTACCGTTTTGGAATTTGCAGATTCGGAATCTAGGACCTTTTAGCTATTAATTCATTAAAAAAAGATAATTTTAAGATTATAATAATAATTATTAATTTATCCTTTAACGCCAGAAAAAGAAATTTTTCTTCCCTGGTGAGCCACGTCTTGTAAGACCTTGCAAGATTTGATGTTTTTTTGTGAAGTCTTGTAATAAGATCTTACGATATGATCTTACAAGATCTTGTTATAAGATAATGTAAGATCTTATGGAATCTTGTAACTTCTTGTCGTAAGATCTTACAAGATTTGGTTATAAGAAGTGACAAGATCTTAGAAGATCGTATATAACCTTGTGACAAGAAAATATATAAAAGTCAACAATGTGTGCCACAAGATTTTGTAAGATCTCATAAGATCGATGACTCATCTCTGGGACATAAATTTTGTGACGATATACAGTATATATATAACATCATTCTCTCTGAAAAACTTAAAACTTTCTCTTTTCAACTTCACACGTCAGCTGAGCACATATGACGTACACGGTTAAGAAACGTGACAAAAGACGATCCTATGACCGCCAAGGATCTGTGCATGTTAGAAATTATGTAGAAAAAGAAAATTTGCAGAGGTACAGCGGGATTTGGCAGGAAATGATCAAGTGTATGATCTTGTAAGATCAGATGAATTCTCATAAGATCATATCAAATCTTGTGACTTCCTATAAGGTCAGATAATTTCTTACAGCTTCTTTCTGTAAGATCATACAAGATCTTGTGCATTTCTGTCATAAGAAAAATCTTGTAAAATCTTATAAGAATCTTGCTACAAGATGTCATATGAAATCTTGTGAAATCTTGTACAGGAAAATGGTAAGAATTTATAAGATCTTTTGAAATCTTGTGATTTCTTACCATATGATTCTCCAAGATCGTGTATGATCTTGTAAGATCTTCCAAGATCTTGTTATCTGATTCTTGAACCTGGGTTTCTACGCTAAGTGTTTCCGAAAATGTATGCTCGATATAATGAGTTTCCGAAGCTTCAAACTGATTGGAACTTTCACAGAATATTCTTCTTCTCATAATACATCTGTACGAATAGCATAAATAATTCTGACCTGACTTATAGGTTTTCCAAGAAATCTTGTTTTCAGGTTTAATCCATTCTTCTCACCATAGAAGTACTTTCATTAAAAACTAATGATATATTTAGAATCAGCGCATCGAACTGCATCGAATGATATGTCCGTTGTATGTTTTTACGCACAAAAAACTGTTCAATTTAATGAAATGACAGATTTGCAGCATTTCCGTAGCAATTTTGACTAGGCACGTGGACATGTGCCATAAAAGTGATATCAAACCCTCTAAACACTATTTCTATAGTTTTCGTGTGCGTTCTTTCTAATGGTGTGATTTACAAGTTCAAAGATGTTTTTATCAGGATTTTCCAAAGATCCAGTCTCTGAAAAACCCGACTAAAAGGTTTTTTTGAACTTTGTAAATCATACCATTGGAAAGAGCGCATACGAAAACCTATAAGAATAGTGTTTAGAGGCTTTGGTATCACTTTTATAGCACATGCCCACGTGCCTAGTCAAAACCGCCCACTGTGCTTCGTACACGTGATAGTACATTTTGTCTACTGTTCAGCAAGAATAGACTATGTTTTTTCAGTTCAAGAGGATACGGTTACAGTTCAGCGCGGAGTAATTTTTTCATTGTGTCGTGATAAGACAATAGCAAGTCATTCATGCGAAACAGAATGATAAAAAAGGTTCACTAAAATGTTCACACCGCAAATATTTTTTTACTACCAACGTACTAAATACACTTGACGGAACTAATCTGATACAAACTCGAAAAGAAATGGTACAAGTTTGAGTAACTCAGTAAACATGATAAACATCATCCTATTCTGTTCAATTTTTTTTATTAGCGTGAGTGTTTATCTGTTCATGTTGGCCAAGCAGGTGTACAGATCGGAAATGCGTGCTGGGAACTATATTGCTTAGGTAAGCAATCAAAGTTTCTTTTTTTATTAATCTGTGGTGATTGAATGCGTGATCTGTTAAGAACATGGAATTAGTGAGGATGGTCAAATGACAAAAAAAAGTAAAAATGAAAAGGATGATTCATTCAGTACCTTTTTTCATAATACGGGTAACAGATATGTACCACGTGCAATATTCGTGGATTTGGAACCAAGTGTTATCGATGTGATTAGAAGCGGTCCATTTAAAAAACTCTATCATCCTGAACAATTAATAACAGATAAAGAGGATGCAGGTATGTAATATTTCCCTCTCATAACCGGTACACTAAGTTCTTTTTTTTTATTTCGTAGCTAATAATTATGCACGAGGGCATTATACTGTTGGTAAACAAATAATTGATTTTGTTCTCGACCGTTTAAGAAAATTGGCAGATCAATGTACATATATCTGACCCTTATATCACTAGCAAGCGTCTTTACTACTCTCTCTGATTTTAGGTGATGGCCTTCAAGGCTTTCTGATTTTTCATTCATTTGGTGGTAAGTACATATTTTTTATGGTGTTCACTAGAAATAGAATGGAAAAACATCGCTCACACCTAAGTGATGATTTTATGCTATACAATCTTTTTCGTTTCTTTCAAGGTGGTACTGGCTCTGGTTTCACCTCGTTACTTATGGAACGTTTAAGCGTTGATTATGGAACAAAATCGAAACTCGAGTAAATATAAATCAATCTAACATTTGCACGATTTAGATCCAATAGATTAATTTATGATCGAGCAGTCATTTATTTATTGATTTTATTTATTTTAACTTGACCTTTTGACTCTTCACTGAGTCATTTTTCAAAAGTAAAAACTTAATAATAAAATTTATTATAAATCAACCCGTGTGTAAGTGTAACTCCTTTTTCTGTGATTTTTTCCAGATTTGCTGTTTATCCCGCTCCACAAATATCAACAGCTGTTGTTGAACCGTACAATTCAATATTGACGACACATACAACATTAGAACATTCTGATTGTGCATTTATGGTCGACAATGAAGCTGTCTATGATATATGTCGACGAAATTTAGATATTGAGCGCCCATCATATACAAATTTAAATCGTTTAATTGCACAAATTGTTAGTTCTATAACAGCATCATTAAGATTTGAGGGTGCATTAAATGTCGATTTAAACGAATTTCAAACTAATCTTGTACCCTATCCACGTATTCATTTTCCATTAGCAACATATGCACCAATTATTTCGGCTGAAAAAGCAATGCATGAACAAATTAGTGTTGGTGAAATAACAAATGGTGTGAATTTATATTTCTGTAACTGACTTGTGTCACAATGCAAATGTTATTTATTTTCAGCTGTCTTCGATCCAGCAAGTCAAATGGTGAAATGTGATCCGAGACATGGAAAATACATGGCATGTTGCCTATTATATAGAGGTGATGTGGTGCCACAAGATGTTAATAGAGCGGTAGCAACTATCAGAACGAAACGTTCAGTTCAGTTTGTTGATTGGTGTCCAACAGGATTCAAAGTTGGTATCAATTATCAAGCAATGAGTGTTGTACCCGGATCTGATATGGCACAAGTACCGAGAGCTGTTTGTATGTTATCAAATACGACAGCCATTGCTGAAGCGTGGGCACGTCTCGATCATAAATTTGATTTGCTGTATGCAAAACGTGCTTTCGTCCATTGGTATGTCGGCGAGGGTATGGAAGAAGGTGAGTTTAGTGAAGCACGTGAAGATTTGGCTGCACTAGAAAAGGTATGATACTTTATCATGTTTGTCTATTGAATAATATCAATTGACATATTTCGTCTATATTTAGGATTATGAAGAAGTTGGTGCAGGTTCTGATGATCTTGATAAAACAGATGAATATTAAACTGACTGCCTCAGATATGATTACTAATAACTTTGTATATCACGATATTGTTAGTATTATTATTCGCTGATCACAGTTTTTACATTAGCATCATGTCATCTAAGTACGAGATGGTTTAGAAACTATCAAGTTTCAATTGTGCAGCAGATGTCATTGACAATAATGTTTGCTTTCTGTTTTAATAACCACTGAAAGACTTGCATTTGTATGCGAGTGGTTTATTCGGTTTGATTAGTCATTAGTGGAAGTTTTTTACCACATTTGTATAATGCAAATATTTTTTTCCAAATTTCTTTATCACTTAGTTCACTACAAGGTTTCATGTGTATGTTACACCCTGTGAAATAAACGATAGAGCCCACTGAAATTCGATTGTTAGTTGTCGAAACAGGTTTTTACTTGAAAATCTATTCAGTGTTACTATCGTGCTATGACTCGACAAGTCCGGTAACTAAGGATGAGAAAATGGCAGTCTTGTTTGTTAGTCAACTTTGGTGTTGTTTTTATATCAAATATATTCTTACAAAAAGAGATAGATTTGAACAAGTTGACTTGAATATATAACAAGTACCGTATGACTATTCTATTAAACGACCTATACGTGTGTAAAAGTAATCAAATAGAAAGACAACAATCGTCAATAAGTATAATTGTTAAACATAAAAGTATCACTATTGATAAAACATGGACATCATGCTGTAGTTTAACAACAAAATATAATACTATATTATGGAGTATATTAATTATAATTTAAGTTGACAGTTTTTTGAAGAGTAATTCAACAAAACATTACTCAGCATCTATAATTGCATCACGACTATGATTAAATTCATCGAAGTGTACTGGTTCCTATATAGACAATAATTTAGCTTATAAAGTATTAATAAATCGAAAAAAAAAATATTCAATTGACTTTTACAACATTGTATTACTGACATTGATAGTGACTTCAAATATAAACCTGTTAAAAATTTAGTAGACAAAAACAGTAAAATGACATTCGTTACATTAAATAAACCAATTGATTTTAGGTTAGAATAAATGCTTATTTGTCTTTCAAGTGATAAAAACAATGCAATTGTAAGACAATGAATAATGTCATATTGTTTCTACATATAAAAAAAAAGACAAAGATATTAAATAAAAAACAACAATAGTTCAACTCGATCAACTAATGTCGATGATGTTTTTGTTTTTACATTATTGCATCAGTCACACTATTATAACAAATAATTTATAGAATCTAACATAAACTTGTTCTAAGTAGCTAGTGGTAGTTCACACGCAATATTGAAAAATGACTGAAATATTATTAGTGTTTTAATAATAATTTTCTTATTGTATCATTATTGGTGTGGATTAAGTAAGTGGAAATGTTTTTTTCTGATTTAAGTCTACTATTTAACTATGCAGTATAGTAAAAAGCTAAATTCATAGACTGTCTCAATGGTTGTCAGATAAAAAAAATCAGCCTCACAGAACTCCAGATTTGACTGCTAAAAAATCTCCTAGGCACGTATGTAAACGGTTACTAAATCCACAATACAAAATGAATTGTGAACAATTTACTAATTTTGTTTTAAAATCTCAACATGCTTTTCCCTGAAATGTGGGATATTAGTAGATTTTTGTCAACATAATGTTATGTCTAAAAAAGGAAACAATTAATAGTATAAGTGCTTCGTCTCCATCTTCTTCTTGTTTTATTATATATTTAGAACGAGTTCGTCTTAAAAAGAATTATGGTTAAAGTAATTCATTTTTGAGGACACGTGAAACTATTCATCTTTTTATTTTTCTATAACAGTAGTATGCAGTCCAAAAATGATTTATCCACCTTTCCTTTTGATAATCTTCTTCGACTATTATAGCTAAAGGAAATCGAATTAGTTTGATTATCAGGAAGTGTTTTCAAATCAGAAGAGGTGTGTATGAAAATTCCATAAAAATTATTAAAAATCCGGTCTCCATAAAATGGAAATCCTAAAAAATAAAATCTCAAAACTCCACTGAAAAGTTTTTTCTCACATGTTACTCAAATAGAGCAAACATTCCTGGCTAAAATGAGCCATCCACAACATTTTTCTTTAAACATGCAATTTACGAAAGACGTCAAAGACATTTTTGCTGGCTTTTTGTCATCTTTGCGAATTTTGATGATCTGGAGCTTTTTATAAATTGAATATTTGAAGAAAAATGTCCTGGATGGCTCATCTTAGCCATGGATGTTTGCTGAGATCTATTTGAGGAACGTGTGAAAAAAAGTTTTCTAGTTGAGTTTTGAGATTTAGTTTTCTAGAATTTGGAGTTTTGTAGAAAATTTTAATCAAAAATTCAAATAAAAAAATCGATCAAAAATCTTTGGATTCATTGTATACTCTAGAACTATTTCAGAAATTAATGAAGCATGGTATATTCGATCATCGCTAGTGAGAAATCTAATGAGTATTATTAAATCATTTGAAAGTCTAGACATGTTAACAAAAATACTGCTATCTGATGAATGTGTCATGAAATGCTGACTACATAAGGTAAACCGAATATAATACATTTCAAACGGTCGACGAATGATGTCTTCATTGCCAATATTCATATGACTACTGGTTAACAGCATTTGAAAAGGCAGTGAGGGTATTTACGTATTTCTGACGTTGAAGTGCGCCGTGTCACTTGTTCGGTTAATTCATGGATCTGCACAGTGAATTATCCAAAACATGTTTATCTGTGTTACGCGAGAAACATGAATGTCGAAAATTATCAGCCTACTTCAAGTTTAAATGTGAATGAGTATTTAAAATGGATAGAAGGATTATGATTTGCGTATGACTGCCTTTGATTATTTACTATGACTTGCTCTTGTTCATAATCAACTATTCTGAGTGTATGCTTTGTACCCTTTGACGACGCCAATTAGATTAGTCAGACGTATGAATCATCTACTTTTGATCTCCTTCGTAATCTCTTATGGTTTATGAGGGGTTCATGTATTGTGAGTGCGTGTAATGTATGAAAATCACGGTTTGAAATCCTAGACAAAATTTTGACACAAACGCAGATGCGGATGAAAACATTAAAAGTAATGAACATGGTTCTTCGTTCAAAAATAATTCTAATTCAGGATGCTTACTTTTACTTGCTGATCGAAATGACTTGCGGTGTATAGTGCGTAAGAGTTCAGTAAGTGGCTAGGCAAGTTCATATACGTCAGACACACTGGGCAATTTTGACAAGGCACGTGGACATGTGCCATAAAAGTGATACGAAAGCCTCTAAATACTATTTTTATAGGTTTTCGTATACACTCTTTCCAATAGTGTGATTTGCAACTTCAAAGATGTGTTTATCAGGGTTTTTCAGAGATCTGGTCTCTGGAAAATCCAACTAAAAGTCGTTCAAACTGCTTCGAAGTCAAAAATCCTGGTGCCTAGCCAAAATTACTACGGGAATGCTGCAAATCTGCCATTTCATTACATCGAACGATCTTATGCGCATAAAAACATACAACTGACATATCATTCGATGCGCTGATTCTAAATATATCATTAGTTTTTAATGAAGGTGCTTCTAGGATAAAAAAAATGGATTTTACCGGAAAAACCTGTAATTCAGTCCAGAAACGTTTACGCTAATTTACGCTAACAGCATAGACGTATCGTTAGTAAAAGATTTTGTGAAACTTTCGTCCGATCTGAAGTTGTGTTAAACTGTGCGCACTTGCTGTACCGAGGACCGCTCTTTGGAAACCCTTAGCCTAGAAAGAAAAATTATTTGTTCGATTCCGAAGCGCCCAAGAAAAAAATTTTTTTGCAATAGGTAGAGTAAAATGTCTAGTTTCAAACGGTTCACTACAGAAAAAAAGTGTCCTTTGGTGACGTTTAGGGCATATGAAAGTGCCCTGTTTTCTGCTTTCACACTGACTGTGGCGCACTTAGGGCACGTTTTTTTTCGCAGTGCATGTATAGTTTTTATAAATATTGTATTCTATTTTGCTAAAAATTGTTTTCGACAAAAATTCCCGTCTAGATTTTCTCACTAACTATGGCTCTTAGAACAAAACTTCCTGTGTCAATTAAATAGAGCATAAGTTACAGTCCCCGAGGGTCCGAATTTTTACTAGAGATAGAACATTGCAAAAGAAAATCGATGTATTTTAGCTTACCCCCCACACACACTTTTATTCTGTCGGCTGAAATTTCTACTATAGAAGATATCTGAGATCTCAGACTTTTCCTTCTCGAGTTATAAAAGAAAAGGAAAACGGTTTTACGGAAAACTAAAGCTGTTGATTTTAAAAACTGTATAACTCAGGAAGGAAAAGCTAAAAAGAAATTTGGTCTTAATTCCTCATCCAGAAGCAAATTCTCAACTCTGTCAAAAATACTAATCTCAATCAACTTACTTAAATTTTTAATTAAGCAATAACGGATGCACGGTAGTATCTAATCTAAAAAAACAAATCCGTTTCATAATTAAGTAAAAGCATAAATATCAGTCAATATTACTTTCCAAGATTCTACGTCTAAAATGCGTACAGTCATTTGAATAAACGAAACAAGTTAACAGGTATCTCTTTTCACACATTTCTCTTTGTACGAGTCATTTTCAAACGTATTTCTCTTTTAATCAAAAATATTAAGTTAATTAGTCGAGTTAGTTTTATAATCCCTCTAAATAATCTTTTTTATTGTAATTATATTTTGATAGAATTCGATAATTTTCCTTAATCCTAGTAAATAGATATGATTTTATATTCCCAATGGAAAATCTGCAATGATAATGAAGGCGAGTATTATCCTACAATTACTGAACGCTGGGAACTTTCCTTAATCCTAGTAAATAAATTTGATTTTATATTCAGAATGGGAAATCTGCAATAATAATGAAGGCGAGTATCATCATACGATTACTGAACGCTGTGGATATGACAGGGAAAGATAACTATCTATACAGATAATGATATGCGTCTCGTTTCACGCTAATCCATTCAATTGTACACAATT